TATTTCGACTAGGCACGTTTTGGCCGTATCAAATGATATATACCCTCTGTAGCCATATGGCTGAGGGTATAAAAATTAGATGGGAGGTGCTGTTTATGGGGGCTATGTGAAGGCGTGGATCTGTACAAACGATTTTCTGTCATAGGAGGTAGTACACATTGCAACCTTTAAATCTGCCGGCCAATACCAACACGTGAACGTATAGAGCCAATTTTCTATACCAAAAGTCCTGCAGGCCTCAAACACATCTGAGTAAAATTTTATCAAACTATTTTGGCCAATATATTTAAGATCGTCATCCCGTTTGTAACTCATCGAAATAATAATTTTAGGCATAACAAAGTATATATATTCTTGATCAGCGTAAAATTATAAGACGATTAGGCCTTTCCCGCCCCTACGCCTGTTTTAATTACGCTAGAGTCAAAACGAATAAAGATAGGAAGCTAAATGTTTGCACAGATGAATCTTTTGTCTACAGGCAGGTTAAGTTCTAAGATGGGCTATATCGGTGCACGATATCGTATAGCCCCCATGTAACGGTGCTCCCCGATATTCGGTGTTTTGACGCTTTTAGCCAAATTTTTCAATGAAATTGTCTGGAAATCCACATAAGGAGTTGCTTCTGAGTACTTTACCCCCTGGAAGAGTATTGTCTACATAGGTTCACGATATCGTATATCCCCCATATAACGGTAACGGTATTTTGACGATTTTAGCCACATTTTTCAAGGAATATATTTCAAGGATATATTTCCTATTGCCATCTACGTAACGGTAAGAATTGATCTTTTGGTCTATCTGTGATTTCGCCAGGATTAAAAATTTCGCGATTTAATGGAAATTTTGACTTTTATTTAACACAAATGTTATGGACTATTTCACCTACTAAATATTACCCGTTGACCATCCATATTAAAAGGTTTCTGCCGAACCCTAAGCTCTAGTCCCATGCTAACTTCTGCATCGATTGGTCTTTAATTACGACCTATAGAGAAACTGCAAAATCAGGAAATTTTTTCCGTTTTTGGTCCATTTCAATATTAGGTGAACATTTCCAAAAGCAATAGGGTTCTATTCTGACCCAAACCTCACATACGTTTTAAATTTCGTGAAGATCGGGCCATAATTGCTACATGTAGAGTGATTACAAATTAACATGGACAGTCGGGCGGACATACATAGCTAGATTAACTCAGCTCGGCGACATAGGAAGAACTATATAATACTCTCCTATGTGGGAAACCAATATTTCGAGGTCTTACATTATTTTTTGCCCAATCAAACTTATAATACCCCCAACACATAGTATTGTACGACATAAAAACATATTTTTGAATGTCTTCCTGGCTAAGAGTCGTGGTTTTTTATGCACTTTCTGGTTAAGAATTGGGGTTTTAAATATTTTTAAAAGACTTCCAAGCCAAGAATTGAGTTTTTTTTTTAAATTTTTAAGGAAATATATTTTACAAGGACCTGCTAGCCAAAAAGCGTGGTATTGAAGAAAATATACTTTATAAGGCCAAGAATCATGATTTCTTGAAAAATATATTCACGGACTTTTTCTGGTCAAGTTTCAAGGACATTCGTCCAAAGAAACGTGACTTTTTAAATCTTGGGCAAGAAAAGTGTCAAGGTTAAATTTTTAAAATCCTGCAATGAAATTCTTGCTAAGAATTGTGTCTTGTTAAAAATATTTTAAAATTAATATTACAAGGATTTCCTGTGTATGACATGAGATTTTAAAGCATTTTCTTCGAATTCTTTAAGAACGTCCAGATTGTGGATTTTAAAAAGAATTTCTGCTAAAATATCCGGAATGGTTTAAGAACTGCAATAAAGGTCTTCCTTGTTAAGAGTCGATTCTTTTTTAAGGACATGATGCCAGGAAGTCAGGAATTTTGCGTGAACAATTTTAAAGAACTTCCTGGCAGAAACCTCAGCCCCTTCGTTGCTAAAAAGTCGGAATTTTTTCAAGGGCTCCCCTGTAAAAAGTATTGCATTTTTCAATAACTACAACCTGCAAGAATCTACTAGTTTTGTATTTTTTTCGATATCATAAAAAGATAATCGGTATCGTAGTAAAAACTTTTACACTCTTGCAGTTCTTAAACATAGATAACATTTTATTAATTTAATATATTTTTAGGGACGTTATCAAAATAAATCGTGGACCTTAAAGTCCAACCTTTACGGACATCATGGACCAAACGTGAAAATATTGTTAATGTTGTATTTTTTTATTTTTTACTTCTTGTTAATTTTGTTTGTTTGTTTTTTTTTTTTTTTTTTTTTTTTTTTGAATATTTCCGGTCAATTTTAAAAAATACAAATCATTAATTTTGGTCCCATATGGTTAGTATTAACATAACTGTGACAGAACCGACCACCACTTAGTAACTTCATTTCTTTATACACGTGAATCATATGTATCGGTGTTCCATACACTTTAAAGCTAACAAATGTCTTAAGCACGTGAATTCGTCTTAAAAGGTACATGTTTTATGAGTTTTCTGACCGAACACTCAGAGGGAAATCTGAGATATTGATGTTTTAAAATAATTTTTATACATTTGTAATTATCATTTTAATATATATTCTAATTATTTATACATCAATTTTTGCACAGCCAATGACCTATAATACAATATCAATTTTTGCAAGCGGTCAATGGGGGGTTAGTGATGGGTAAAAATTTTAAATAATAATAATAATAATATTAACACCAAAATGTTTAATTTTTTTTCGAATTTAACGCAGAAATGAAGAAAAAACTTACCACCTCATAATAAGACAGCTACTAAAGTGGCAGCACTTGGCCTGCATTTTTAATTAGCTGATGGTCAGCATTGTTACAAGCGACCTTTATTTTGGTTATAGGGAACGCGCCATTTTATCGCTTCGGTATTTCCATTTATACCATAAACAAAATATTTTCATGGATAAAATACTGTACATAACACTGAGCACTTATAGTAGTCATAATCAAAAATAATTTTATTTGCATTTTTTAAATTCCAATACAGCGGTAAATTTGAAATTAAATCAAAAGATTTTTTTGGTAATTTTTTCTAAATTTGTTATTTTTTACCCCAAGATATTTTTATATTCATACACATGTGTGTATTTGATATTCTTAACTATTTAAGATTACGCAAAATAATTCTGTTTTTTTTTTGTATCAATTATTGTTCATTCAAACCCCGTTTATAGAATTTGTCTGTAGACATTGCTCGGAGTAAGGATGACGCAAATTTACTCATTTGCATTGAAATGTTGTGTTTTTCATTTTCGTTTGGTTTTAATTTTTTTTTTTTGTGGATGCGAAGACATTTTTCTACTTTTATTTAACTCACGCTTACTTTTCCTCTTTGCGTCGTTCGTTAATAAAAAATCTTTTATTTTTTGTCACTATTATTTTAGTCACGTTGACGCTGCTGGACAAAAATTGTCTTCAGACAATAGACGTGATTTTAATAATGCTATATTTTGGCGATTCTTTTTTTCTTCTTTAAAAAAATGAGAATCAATTCATAGAATCATCATCTCTATAAATTATTTACACAGGACGACAATATTTTTGGAGATTTCAAAAGGGCAAGTTTGGCTTTGAGAAAAACTGGTCCTTCGTTAAAGACCAAAGGACGTTCTCAAAGTAGACAAAATGTGTCTTCTCATGGGAGAAAAAATTGTCTTCTCATGGAAGGCAGGTACTCTTTTTATGGAAGATCAATAGTTTTCTCTTAAAAGAACAATGGGTCTTCTCATGGAAGACCAAAGGATTTTCTCATAAAAGACCAAGGGGTCTTCCTATGGAACACCAATAGGTCTTCTCATAGAAGGCCAAAGGGTGTCCTCTTACATGACCACAGGGTATCTCTTAGATGACCAATGGGTCTTCTCATAGAAGCCCAATGGTCTCCTGATAGAAGACCAAAGTGATCTCCTGATAAAAGACAAATAGGTCTTCTCATAGAAAACTAAAAGGTCTTCTCATAGAAGAGAAAAGGGTCTTCTCATAGAGAAACAAGGGGTCTTCTCATGGGAGAAGAAAGGGTCTCCTTTTAGATGAAAAGGTTTTTCTCAGGTCTTCTGATAGAAGACCAAAGGGTCCAACGGATTGGAGATTTAGGTGGTCATTTTGGGCTGGAAATGAAGCGAGGAACCGCCATTCTTGGGTGGCGCGTGCTAAATGCGATTGTGCTAAGTCCTGTTGGAATGTCCAAGGTCTGCGGCCACAATGTTTGCGTGCCCAAGGCTTTAATATACCCTCCAGAATATTTTCGCGATAATATTCAGCATTTATTGTGATGCCACGGTCGATTAATACGAGCGGAGAGCGACCATCGGCTGTTATGGGGCGGCCCACACCATCACCATTGCCGGCGGTTGAGTTCTGGTGGCCAACCGAAGGTTCAAATTTTCAGCTGACCTCTTTGGCAAGTAAATACGATCATTTTGTTTGTTTACAAACTGCTGGACAACGAATGTTTTCTCATCGGAGAAATCCTAATTCGGCAGTTCACCACTTTCGGCCAAGCGAAGCAACTCTTTAGCTCTTTTGAGCCTATTTTCTTTTCGTTGCGGTTTAAGTTCTTGCACTTTTTGGAATTTCAATGGCTTTACCCCGAGCTCATTTTGCAATATTTGCCGAATGGAAGATTGCGATATGTGGCTTACAGCAAATTACAGCAGTCTGAAGTTGGTTGCAGTTTTTTCATCTCACCTGTAGGTCTTCTCATAGAAGACCAAATGGTCTTCTCATAGAAGACCAAATGTTCTTCTCATAGAAGACCGAATGATCTTCTCATAGAAGACCAAAGGTTTTTCTCATAGAAGACAAAAGGGTTTTCTAATAGAAGACAAAAGTATCTTCTTATAGAAGACCACTAGGCATTTCTATAGAATTTATTTTTATGTTTGTCTTAGTTGTTCCTCTGTTTAAAATCACTTTTGCAATCTTTGTTTTATTTTGCTCCTCTACTATTTTCCCTTTACAGGAAGGACCGCATTCCACACTACCGGAAGATGAATTTTTCGATGCTGTTGAAACGGGATTGGATAAAATCGAAGAGGACATGCAATTGAGAGTTAAATTGAAATTGCAATCACAACAATCACAAATCTCCACACACAACTCCGTGAATGCGTCAGCAACAGAAAATGGTGAAAACGATGATGTCGATGCCGAATTTGGTACTGGTGCCTTGGCCAGGTCACATGATCTGTGGGAAGAGGTGAGGGGAAATTGTTATTTTTTATTTTGAATAGCTTAAACGGAAATGAATAATTTGTTTCATTTGTTTTTTTTTATTTTCAACAGATTGATCGGGTGTGCCTGGAACAGTTGCACTATGCCCGACAAGGTGTCGGTCAGGACGGCAATGGTTGGCAAATATTTGCCGATGAAGGCGAAATAAAAATGTATAAACGTGAGGAGGAAGTCAATGGCATGGTGGTGGATCCCCTGAAAGCCTATCATTCGGTCAAGGGTGTTACGGCCAGAGAAATGTGTCATTATTTCTTTATGCCCGAATTCCGCAACGAATGGGAAAGTAAGTTGGAATTAATATTTATCTTCTAGTTCCGTAATCAAAATGTTTTTTGGTTTAAATCTCCAGCCACCTTGGAGGACTGCACAATATTGGAAAAAATCTCGCCAGACACATATTTATTCCTACAGACCCACAAACGTGTCTGGCCAGCTAGTCAAAGAGATGCCCTATTCTGGTCGCATATGCGCAAAATTACCGATGGTTTGGACGAGGGTGCTGTCGATACCTGGATCGTTTGCAATAATTCAACAAATTATTCAACACAAGAAGTAAATATGTGAAGATGTAAAATTCGTTATTTATTATGGAACTTATGTTTTCTTCTTGTTTGTTTTTTTTTAGTCTAAAAATGGCAAATGCGTTAGAATATTTTTAACAGTTATAATGGCCTGTCAGACACATTTGCCACCGGGCAAAACTAAAGCGGATAAACTGACCCGCGACGATTTAACGTGTAAAGTCACGTACTGTTCTGTGGGTAAGTACGAAGAATTTTCTAAAGGGATCATAGACAAAGATTGTGTTCATTTGAAAAGGATCTCGAAATAGTTACTGTGCCGTAATGCCACCACAAAACAAATAATTCGAAAAAGTAAATTATAATATATATTATTTTTTAATGAAGGATCCAAAATATTTAGTAGTGTAACTATGTCATATTTATCTGATTCTGGATTTAATTCCGATTTCCAAAATGCAGCTTCTTCAGTCCGAAGTTGGTGAGATTGGCAAGATTAGTGGGATATTTTTGACTTTGCGGGATTGTCTGATGGCATTGCATTGCATACGGGACTGGAGTTCGGCACATTAAAAGTAATCCGCGACCAGTGTGAATTGAGATGGCTAAGTCATACTAGACATAGTTCGGCCAAACTGGGCTATACTAGTTTCTTGGAAACTTGCGTTCTTTAGCTGAACTGTGCCACCCGCACTATTCTATGGATATATTTTATGATTGGAAAGGAATGCCTCAAATGTCTTTACTTCGCCCTCCATAAATTATTTACACAGGACCACAATATTTTAGGAGATTTCAAAAGGACAAATTGGCTTTGAGAAAAACTGCTCCTTCCATTAAAGACAATAGGAAGTTCTCATAGAAGACAAAATGTGTCTTCTTATGGAAGAACAAATGATCTTCTCAATGAAGACCAATGGATCTTCTCATAGAAGACCAACGGGTCTTCTCATAGAAGACCAAAGGGTCTTTTCATTGAAGGGTCTTCATCCAAAGGGTCTTCTCATGGAAGACCAAGGGGTCTTCTCTTAGATGACGAAAGGGTATCTCTTAGATGACCAAAGGGTATTCTCATAGAAACCCAGCCGTCTCCTGATAGAACCCTAAAGTGTATTCTCATTTAAGACCCAAAGGTCTTCTTTTTGAAGACAAATAGGTCTTTTCATTAAAGACTAATAGTTCTTCTCATAGAAGTCAAAGTATATTCTCTTAGATAACCAAAGTGTCCCCTCATAGAATCCCAATGGTCTTCTTGTTGGAGACCAAAGTGTCTCCTAATAGAAGACCAAATGATGATCTCATAGAAGATTAAAGGGTCTTCTCATAGAAGACCAAAGGGTTTTCTCATAGAAGACTAAAGTATCTTCTCATAGAAGACAATTTGACTGTTCTCTGAAGGGACATTTGACAAACTCTCCGCACTTGGATAATTAGCTTTTAAGTGTTTAAGGAAAGTGTTTGTCTAGAGGATATGTAAAGGGAGAAATATGCATTTGGACGCCCCTTTATAAATTAAGGTGTGTAAATTTATTGGACTTGACATCATCCTCTTATTCCACGTGTAAAAATGCGATAAACAGTTTACTCTGTCAGTGAAGATTCCCCTTGGCAGAGGTACAATAATTTTTGGTGGGTACTAAAATCCCCCGGTGCAGAATAACAAATTATCCCCATCTGTCTCGGCAGGTCCCCACTTGATTGCTAAATCAATCGGTTCCATACTAGGAAGGGGACATTCTTATTCGTCATAAAATTTAGCTTTGTCAGCGCAGAATCCCTTTAGGTTGGGTTGACACAATTTGTGGTGGGCCCATAGGATCAGACTTATTTGTATTGCAATTTATACGAATTAATCACTCCTACCGAGACAGGATATACAAATTATGCTCCTATACCTAGACTGATACCGATTTGATCCCTTATAACATACGTTCTATGCTGCAAGTCAAGCTATTAAAAGCATACTGACTTTTATATGTGAGAAGTGGATTCGCCTAAACATCTAGGTCAATTCGTTATGTCACATAAGGAGCCGAAATTATTGTTTTCTTTGTCCTAAATGTAAGTTATATAATAATAATTAAATAAAAATGATGATAAAAATAATAATAATAATCTCATCCATACGTGACATTCAATGGATTTCCTTTACTTTCTATGAAATACCGATTTCATCGTTTAATTTTATTTTTCTTTTTCAGTCAATCCCGGCGGTTGGGCTCCTGCCTCTGCTTTACGCGCTATTTATAAGCGTGAATATCCAAAGTTCCTTAAACGTTTCACCAGTTACGTGATAGATCAACGTAAAGATCAACCCATTATGTTCTGATATTTGCCATTTTCATTATTATATTTGCTGTTATAACTAATTATTTTTATTGTTTTTTTAACACTTACCAACAATGTTTTATATTTCTCTTACTCCCCGCTCCCCCTCTCTCTCTGTCTCTCTCTCTCTCTGAAAATGCATGGCATAAAGTCAAACTACATATTAATTTTTTATGTTTTTTAATCTACAAGTTCCAAATACAATTTTTGTTTTGAAATACGTGTTTTTCGCTAATGTTAACAATGTTGAAAACGAACAAATTCTTCACACCTCCTGTTCAAGTAGTTATTAGGAATACTATATAAACAACGCTTGGGTGTTTTGTTGTTTTGTAATATAATTTTATATAAAGAAAATAAAAATAATTTAAAGAAATATTACCAAATATCCCAATTGGAAACCATATGCCTTTCTAAAAAAAAAACTAAAATATTTATCATATATTTACAATATTAGAAGTGTTCAACAGTTCTAAAATATTTTGAAATTTTTTCTTCTTAATGGAAAATTAGGATTGTGGAATTTAAATAAAATCTTATAAAATAAGAAATTTCAATGATCCTCCATTTCAATTTTATTTTATAGAAAAATATCCAAATTCCAAAACACACAATATTTGTTAAAAAATATTGTTCCTTCTCTTTATCTTTTCCACAATCTCTTATCGACATTAATGGGAATTGTTTCTTACTAAACTTAGAAAACGGTGCAGAGTGAGCAATATCACAATACTTCTCGACTATGCCTTATAAATTGGCTAATGCAGACAAACTGAATACCAATTAAAATATGTTTTTCCTTTACATAATAAAATACTATATAAATAATATTCTAGGTATATGTTTTTAGTTTAAATATTACATATATTCACATGCACAAACACAGCAATCCTTACTATTTTTCCAATACACACACACGAAAAACACAAATCACTTTAACTCAATATAATTTTTATTTTTTAGAACAAAATATATATTTAATATACCATTACTATATATATTTATATACAAGACAAGAAAGAAAAAAAAAACAGAGCTAATGAAAAACAAATAAAATTTAAAAAGAAAAACAAAACAAAAGTGCTATATATTCAACCAAGTTGTTATGCATTATCCCAAGAGAAAAAAAACTATTGAAGAAAATTGTTTAAAACAATATTTTTATTTGATTATTATATTTTTTAATAAATTATTTTTTGAAAGTAAATCGCATTTATTTTATAGTAGCTACAAGTATATTTGTCAAGAAAAAAACACCAAATAAATATATATATATGTCATTTTACTTTTTTTTAAGAAGACAATCAATCAATCATGCTTTGACAATTTCTCGTACACAATTTTACATAAATTATAAAATATGATGGATCACACTGTTAAATATTTCGAAAATAATTCAAATTAAAAAAAAAAAAAAACAAATTAAGAAAGTAATAAATGTGGAAAATCAAATCAGATCAAGAAAGGAGAGAATACAATTTGAGTACTGAAAACAACGCGTAAGTATATATTATTATAACTATTTTTAATAAAAAATATCCGCACTTAATTTAAATTTAAATGACTGCACCATGACTGAACGAAGTTATTGCAAAAGTGGACGTTTCGCGTCGGTGGTAGATTTGGAAAAAAATCTATAGAAATACATTTGAATGTGTAGATACATTAAATTTATTTTTAAAAGGTAGTTAAAATCAACTAAATATTGAATCTTAGAGTAAGAAGACCATCATAATTGACTCCCTGATTTATCTAAGTAGCCGACGTTCTTTAGCTGCAATTGATGGAATGACTACTGTATTGGTTATGACATCGATGACTCCATCAGTGTGAATAATACTGAGACCGGCTTAAGTTGGTTCTACAGTAATAAGGTGGTTGGAGAACCGGTGTTACGAATGATATATGAAAATAGCTCCAAGGTCACAGATAGTCGTTATGAAAGAAGTTTATATTGGCGTGATCGTAGGCTAATCCTCTTCTATCACTAAATCCAACAATACAAATTCGGATTTTTCCTTATGCCAAAAACCTTCGAAAGTTGGTAGGTAAGATTGGTGGAACATTATTACATTTGTGGAGTTGGCTAGCGGCTTTACATTACATGCAGGACTGGTGCTCAGCACATTATCAATAATGCGCGACGAATATAACATAATAAAGCTGTGCCATCCTGAACTTAGTTGGGACAAAACTAACCAATTTGCAATGTGCGATGAAGAAGGAATAATGCTTCTACAGCCGAGCAATCTTTGTAAGTATATATATTTTTTAGTCAAACCGCCATGCCCATTTTAAAGACACTGGAAACAATATTTGTGGCCAATATCCTTATAAAGCTGATGTATTATTTTCGAATCTTCAAAAAGCGTGGGCATCATTAATCGCAATAAAGGTGTGGTTTAAGCAGCCAAGCATATTATTGTAAAATTATAAGAAAAACGACGGCAAAATTCGTGTGCGTCTCTAGCACTATTATTCCCTTATGATATGCCATGCAAAGAGTTCATGATGTACCCACACCTTAATTCTTCACTTCGCTTTGTCTTTCTCAGGGTGCCCGACAAACTTATCATTAAAGTAGCCGGCACACGACTTCTTTAAGTCGCCGTTATAGCATTAATTATTAAAGAAATCATCCATTTCCTAGGTTTTAAAAACGATTAAGCCGTTATTCGTATTAAATCGAATGTTTCAACAAGTAGCCTAGCCACTTTTTGGGGGATATAGTCTCATTCTAGAGAAATTTTGTTATTTCTCAGTTAAAAAGTTAAAGCCATTAACTAAAAAGCTAACTATTAACAGCATACCAACGTTTTCTGATTGGATACAACAAATTCCTTTGACGTTTTAATCATGGTAGAAGAATATAGATAGATGTTTCAATGTTTTGTCAAAAATAAGTAAATTTTATACGTTTTTATACGGCATAAATCGGAGGTTGTTAAGATATGCATTTTTTAACAATTAATTAATTCATAATTTTTTCAAAATCGGTTTCAATTCTAAAATCGATTTAACAGTTTATTTTTCCAGCAGCTGTGTCGATACGACTGTCTATTTTCTTGTACCATACGGCATGCATTTAGTACAACTGAAATACAACCCTGTGTAGCAAACTGCACTCTTCTTCTTCTTTTCCCTATGGGCTATCAGTTATTGAGTATTTGATACGCGGTTACAAGTGAAGTTTGTGAAATGAGTGAAAAAGTTTAAAATTGTTTATTAAAAGTGTAAAATATAAAATAATAAATGCAGGTAAGTTGTGATTATATACCTATGTAAAATATTAAATGAGAATTGTCGTTGAAATGACTGTCATACATGGCGTAAAAGCGTTAATGCAAAAGATTGTCCAGCTGTGTTCTTTGCCACTTATGTGTTTTCAAGCCTGCCTTTTCAACTCACTTTAGTAGTGGGACCAGGAGTTTTGTCAATTGACTTTAATCCACAAAACAGATGGTCATAAAAGAGTTTGACTTTTTACAATTTTTAAGGAATACTTTCAAGTTTATCTAGCCGACCGGTATATGACTGGTAAGTTTATATACGATGTAAGTTTTTTTTTTTTCTTAAAAAGTTCGTTTTATTGATATCTCTTTGCATGCCTTCTTTGTAAAGGCAGGTGTCCCAATCAGTTATTGTATTTGATATTAAGTCTGATCCTTACTTGGAAAAGCGCCATCGTTGAGGATGTTTTGAAATTCTCAGGTATATCCGAATTATTGGCATTCACTCTATTTTAGTAAAACCAATCCGATTTTCTAAATTTGATTAGATCCAGCTCTACAGCATTAATATAGGTATAATTGGAAATTAATAATTTTGAAAATTCCCGAGTTAAAGTTCCGTTGGTGAATGGTATATTTCCAGTATTTGTGAGAGCAACCAAGGCCCGTAACTCGGGAAATATGGACTTCCCAAAGAAAAACTGTATAACGTTGTAATCAGGACCTCAAATACCCCTTGGTTAAAATTGAAACATCATTCCGCGATTACGTCACTATATGACAGCTATATCTAAATCTGAACCGATTTGCATCAAAATCATTTTGAAAAAATCCAAGTTGAAAAATTTCATCTTAATTGGAATACGAATCAGAAAGTGATTCTATGAATGTCATTAAAAGTAAATATGCGTCTACCTCGGCTCCTTTTTCATTTCACAAGCAAATACTACAGATCTGAAGGCTGTAAATTAGCATAACATTAAATCCATTGCTGTTATTAGAATTGTATTAATCCATTGTTAGGCTTTTCTGAAGTTGAGGTTACCGAAATGTTATTAATATGAACCAGCAGACGTGTTGGTTAGATACGGATCTGAGCCAGGTTGTTGTTGCGATTAAAAAGATGTTGCGTATTACGCGGGCTAATAGCTCCCGCTGGGCGGACGTTTAGCACATCTTCATCAATTTAGCCAAATATGAATTAAACTTCCCAGGCATCGTTATTCCCACTCAGACCTGCCTGGTCTACGGCAAATTCATCATATCATATCACACCATCATGATTTGCTTTATGTTATATAGCTAAAACAATTTTTCTGTTTTTATGTCTTTAAATCGAAATTCACTTCTATCAAACCCCCTTTTTTTCAAGATGAACACCTTCGATCTGTTTGTTTTCTATTGGAGTAGTTATCATATAAGGAGACCAGGCATCCTTTGTAATCATCTTCTGCAAAAACCCACACACAAATATCTTTCAAATGTCCATACTTTCTAAAATAATTAGGTCAAAAACCACAATTGTCATAGTAATGTTTGTGTCGTTAGGTTTTCTGATAAACATCCATGAAGAGGCTGGAAAAAGGCCAACGAAACGTTGAGTAAAAGCATGCACGGTGCATACACTTTAAACATAACATAAGTATTTAAATACCGTCTAAGAAACATTGCTTTTCTGCTACAGATGAAATACCTTTTACATGTTTATTTTAGACGAAAGCCGTTTCTGTCGATTTCTTCTTTAGAAAAAATATTATTCTATTGATACAGGTATTATATAATAAATCACCTCCAAGAAGGGTATACTATTTATATAAGACCAGTAAAGAGTAATCTATTTATAGACGGATTTTTTCGTTTATTTCTGATAACATCAGATTATTTAGTACAATCGTCTTAGAGCAACTTCATTTCCTATATGAAATTGTGTTTATAATTGATTTTTTTCTTCGTCTACTTATAGCCGTATGACGTAGGCATATCTATCACCAATCAGTCTATTGTCTGAGAACATCATATTGCAGATTATGCCACTTAAGGTTATCGTTAGTCAAAAAATAAACATAAAAAGAAATTCAAGGTTTATTGTCCACATGAACATGTGTATAATCGATCCAGTCAATATGTGTTAGATGTTATGTTGTCATTAGTATATTTTTAATTATTTTCACCTATATAATAATAAAAATTTACGACATTTTTTATAATTTGCCATATAATTTGCTTCTTATGTTGGCGGTTTCTACCAAAGTGATTAACCTTCCAAAATTAATCTAAGTGATGTTGAAGCCTATTAAAGTATTTTAGACTTAATTTATTATCGTTATTTAATAATGGTGTTTTTTGACGTTTTCAAATTTGTGTGTTTAAGGCAAGGTCTTGCAAGAAAAAATATTTTTTATTATTATTTTCATATTAAATATTGTATATATTTGTTAATATATTTTCATTCACATTTCTTCTTACAAATAAGATAATAATTTGTTTTTTTTTGTTATAATTTATAAGACACTATTTGCTAAAGTTATCACTCCGTAACCAAAATATATATTTTAATGCATTTCCGGGCCCAAATACTATTATTCTTCGGGTCCTGTGGGAATTTCATTCAAATGCTTTTCTTTACAAATTATTAGTTTTTCACTTCACTTGTTGGCCAAAATTTCAAATTTCATGCCGTGTTCATGCTTTTCCAATTCACTGATCAAACTGGTTTTGGCAAAAGCAGCTCCTGGTGGCAAAACTCCACCTTTACCAGGCATTTTGTCGCTCTCCTTTAGGATGGTCTTTGCTGTAGACAATAGAGCAACACAGGTGGCACCATAACCTGGATTTGGACCCGAAACCCTAACCATCAACGATTTAGATGGTGAGCCAGTGGGTGGATTGTTGTTGTCGGTTTTGGGCCAGCCCAAGGCTTTCATTGTCATTGAAAAGTAGGTTCTTTCCATAGCAGCTTCAGAGGGACCTTCGTGGGAGATAAAACCAAACGAAAATAGTCCAGGATATTTCAATAGCAAACGACGGCCAAACGAGAACTTTGCCAATAAACCAAAGACCACAGCCACCAGGGCAACTAAACATGCGGTAACATACGAACCAAATGCAACATAGGCATGCATTTGAATTGGTCTCTTCTTCTCCTGTTCGTATATGAAACGTTGAGAACGCATCACAACCGAACGATCAGCGCCCGGAAAGGGAAGGCAAACGCCGTCTACAATTTCAGAACGGAAAATCAATGGACGGTGTTTGAGTACCGGTTCAAAACGAGGCATTTTCTCGGCATACAATTGTTGGCGTATGCCACGCAACTCATTTGCATGTGCCAAACCGTAGACGGCACTTTCCCAAGTTCCAAAATGAATACCACCCCTGCCACCGGCCGAACCACCTTTTGTGTAGCTCTGTAAATACGTCTCAACAGAATTGACAACGCCGTCGAAGTTCTTTTCAATGAATATGATTCCCATATCGGCAGGTATTGAGTCGAAACCACAAGCTGATACAACATAAATACTACGTTCCTGGGCTTGTTTGTGATATTTCAATTGCATGGTCTCCATGTATTGTGGTTCGCCGCTTACATCCACATGATGAGTACCGGCCTCCAGGCATGCCCGAACCACTGGTTCGCCATAAAAACGATATGGGCCACAGCAATTTACCAAAACACGACAACGTTTTGCCATCTCCACCAATGAACTTTGATCTTCGATATCGGCGATTACGATGGGTATGTTCTTGAGATTTTTGTTTGCCTTGGTGCCCATATCTTCGAGGACGGCTTCCAGTTTCTTGCGATTACGTCCAGCAATGCCCCATTTTAAATCAGCCAATACGGAAACTGCTTCAAATACTGTGTATTTACCGGTAAATCCCGAAGCACCAAATATGATTACATCCAAACGTTCCGCCATACTGTGTACTCTGCTCTTCTACACTTTCTTCTTTGCCAGCAACACCTCTACAAGACTTTTTCTACAAGTACAAAACAAGAAATGTCAATGAAACATCGTTCCCACATTCTTATCTCAAAATAACAGAAAAAACACGAAAGACGCAATCTATCACACTTTGACGTTCACGAAAAAAAGATTGGTGGATTCGGTTGTCGGAAATGACCTTTGTCTCAAACCCCCCAAAATCGATGTGTGATGACTTAATAAAAGAACGACATTTCAATTATAGAGTAAAAATCTAAATTTCAAAATTTCGTAAAGGTTACACACCCACTTGTTAAAACTTGTTTTTTTTACGCGGAATTTTAAATACTCGAACTCGCTTGCAAGGCAACGCCCAGTGTCAATAATGAATGGATTTATTGTTTGCTTTAGAAATTTGCCAAATAAGAATTGCAAATAGAATGCAAATAAGACCGGCAACAATAATACGGACCGTAAATATGAGTGACTGCACACAGACTTGTCACTTTCATTGCATACTTTGTATCGGATAATCGGAGAGAAATTCTGTTATCGACTTATAATATATTCGTACGTCATACTCCAAGCGAGAGCTTTGCCTAAATGACTACTTGTCGACAGTTTTACGATGTGTTAAAACATGTGTTATTTTTGAAAATTGAGCTTTAGATACATGCATGGTACAATGATATCAAGGTAGGGCTATGATACCATATGATTTAATTTTTTTATTTTCTTGGCTTAATATGTCATCTTTATTTGTTGATGTATGTGTTTCCTTTTCAATAACAAACAAAATGGTTTAGAAAATGTTCAAATTCGGGTGTTTTCAAAATGTTTATTTCTTCGTATGCATCGACAAAATCTAGAGTTTTTGTAGCGAAATAATCCTTTAAAGATATATAGAACATGGTTTTGAAAAGAAGTGTTGACCTTTCATTCAGTTATCGCGGTTTTCAATTATTTATTCAAAATAAATGCAACAAGTTGTTTGATTTTTTATTGTTTTGATACTAATTTTGACATTACAAGCCAAACAGGTAGACCTTTATACTTGCAATTTTTTCAAAGTTGGCCTACCTTCTCTTCATTGTACCATGAGTATATCTACATAGCTTTAGATACATGCATGTCTGATCTTAAGGAGAGAACTAAACTTAGCAGAAATAAGTTGCCGGTTTGCTGTCAGAGATGTATTGGTATATATTAACCGATTATCGATCACATACTTATATATTACTTTGTTCCAGGACCGGCACTAAATTCACATAATTTGAGTGCTATGGTAATGATATTTTGGTTTAATTCTGGTTTGATGTGCATGCGAATTACCTAGTTTACAGGGCCAACTTTATTTTGCAAGTACCAAGTTTAAGATAATACCAGACTAATACCATCAAAATACCGAATATAGGGAGATACCGTTATATGGGTTCTATACGAAGGTGTGGACTTTGGCACGAATTATGACCTTCAAACGGCCAATGAAACCGTCACACGCTGCCCGAATGTTGCTCTGCGGTATTTTGGCCCATTCCCGGCGAAACGCTCGCTTGAGGTGATCGACACTTTGGTATTTTTTGTGCCAACCTAGCTTTCTAATTGCTTTCTAATCCGGATTGGTATCCGGAGATTTTGGTAGCCATTATGTGCTGGAAATGAAGCGAGGAACCTCATTTTGTAACAATTCTTGGGTGGTGCGTGCTAAGTGCGATAGTGCTGAGTCCTGTTGGAATGTCCAAGGTCTGCGACCAAAATGTTTGCGTGCCCCAGGCTTTAATACACCCTCCAGAATATTTTCGCTATAATATTAGGCATTTATTCTGATGCCACGGTCGATTAATATGAACAGAGAGCGATCATCGGCTGTTATGGAGGCCCACACCATCACCATAGCCGGCGCTGAGTTCTGGAGGCCAGCCGATGGTACATATTTTCAGCTGGCCTCTTTGGCAAGTCGACATGATAATTTTGTTTATTTACAAACTGCTGGACATCGAATGTTTTCCCATCGGAGAAAACCAAGTTCAGCTGTTCACCACATTCGGCCAAGCAAAGCAACTCTTTAGCTCTTTTGAGTCTATTTTCTTTCCGCTGCAGTGTAAGTTTTTGTACTTTTTGGAATTTCGAATGGAATATTGCGATATGTTCAGCTCACGAGCCATTTTTCGACCACTGCGACGCGGGTTTCGATCAAATCGCTTCTTTACTTTTCGAACCATTTCTGCTGATGTTGCTGTTTTCTTCCGTCCACTTCCTTAACGTAAAGAAATTGACGCTTGAATTCCATAACGAATAACTTTTTTTCTGGAAACTTCTTACCAAAACGCTTTTGTACGCTTGTAAACAATATAATGAGCTGTCACTGGAATAATTTTAACAGCTGTCGGAAGAGTGGCTTAGGAATGACAGCAGTCTGAAGTTGGTTGCAGTTTTTTTTTCACCTCACCCTGTATTACATTACCTTCTGATAATCGGTACTTTGAAGATGCGGCCAACATTTTCCTACCTAAACAGCTGTAATTAGGCATTTCCGTTTTTTTAGTTGGTCATTTAATTCTTCACGAAATATATTCAATATAGAGTCTGTCAAATTTCAAACTTGGTTTTCATTAAATTGAGCATTTTTGAAACACGAAAAAATAAAGATAAAAATTAAGATATATTTTTACTTGTTTTTATTCGCTTTTTTGCTTGTCACAACAAAACTTCCTATTGGTATTGGAGTCATTAGTATTTAAGTTTTGCGGTCTCTTTATTTATTACTTTTTCTAAATACTTACCGATTTAAATGAAATAACACAACTTGCAGATAGCAACTATTTTGGAAATACTCAATAGTGAGGCAAATTATGTTTCTCTTTATTTTCGAAAGGATCATTTATATATTATTTTTGTTATATTGTTTTTCTTTTCATTTTGTTTTACGACAATAAGTAACTATTTATATGTGTTGTTTACGTTTTTTATCTCAATACTTATTACGGTTTTATTTAAAAATTTTGTGTAGTAATATTTACAAAACGAAAAAAATCCTATAAAAATATTGCATGTATTTTCCAATACTTGGCCGAAAGGCATTACAGTGTGTGTTTGATAAAGTGGTGATTAAAAAATAACGAAAATGTAAGTTAAAAAAGATATTGGAATAAAAGTATACAAAGAAATTCTTTAAGTTAATTAAAGAAAAGTTTCCCAAAATTTGTTTTCCGTTTTCTTTTCGCGATCGTCTAATATACCGATATACTAAAACACATCTAGTTACTTTGAATTGTAAAAATGCATATCCTAAAAAGTGATAATCATTCAAACCTACATATGGTGAATAGAACTCTCCATAAAAGATACCATCTCTATATAAAGACGAAGTAAGGGTGGTCTTAGTAGTATTCATAATTATGGAGTTACCGATGGGCGCGAAATGACGAAACGCCCCTACCACACCTACCTGACTTAGTCCGGAAGATTTATGTGAGAATCTCACACAAGTATCTGCAATTTAAATTTGGATTATGAACCATAACCACATTAGCAGAACAAACACGTCGTTAACTCTGCTACTAATCCAAATTTATTTGTTTCGAAGTGCCTTTGGGCCCAATTAGGGTCGGGCTTTGGACGCACTCGAAATTTTCTTCAGAAGGGAAGTAATGGAAAAATATTCTATCACAAAGAAGTATAAAAACTATCCTTGCTTTCATTCCATAAAAATGTTTGTTCAACGTATACAGGGTGAGATGAAAAAACTGCAACCAACTTCGGACTGCTGTCATTTCTAAGCCACTAGTCCGATAGTTGTTAGAATTATTCCAGTGACAGCTCATTAAATTGTTTACAAGCGTACAAAAGCTTTTTGGTGAGAATTTTATAGAAAAAGAGTTGTTCGCGATGGAATTGAAGCGTAATAGGGTGATTTCTTTATATTTGGCTGGAAAACCGCAAGTGGCTATCGTTAAAGCACTCCAGCATTAAAATGTGAATAAATCGTTTCTCGTACCATCACTCGTTACCGTGATACTGGTAGTGTAGGCCGACTTCAAGGAAGTGGACGGAAGAAAACAGCAACATCAGCAGATATGATTCGAAAAGTAAATAAGCGACTTGATCGAAACCCGCGTCGCAGTGGACGAAAAATGGCTCGTAGGCTGAACATATCGCAATATTTCCATTCGGTAAATATTGAAAAATGAGCTCGGGGTAAAGCCATTGAAATTCCAAAAATTGCAAAAACTTACACCGCAACAGAAAGAAAATAGACTCAAAAGAGCTAAAGAGTTGCTTCGCTTGACCGAAAGTGGTGAACTGCCGAATTTCGTATTCCCCGATGAAAAAACATTCGTTGTCCAGCATTTTGTAAACAAACAAAATGATCGTGTTTACTTGCCAAAGAGGCCAGCTGAAAATGTACCATAACAGCCGATGGTCGCTTTCCGCTCGTATTAATGGACCATGTCATCAGAATAAATGCCGAATATTATAGCGAAAATATTCTGCACGCAAACATTTTGGCCGCAGATCTTGGACATTCCAACAGGACTCAGCACCATTGCACTCAGCTCGATCCACCCAAGAATGGTTACAAAATGATGTTCCTCGCTTCATTTCCAGCGGACGGACAATAGCAACCAAAATCTCCGGATACCAATCCGTTGGTCTATTGTGTCTGGAGTATTTTCGAAAGCAAGGTTGACACCAAAAAATACCAAAGCGTCGATCTCCTCAAGCAAGCGTTTTGGCGGAAATAGGCCAAAATACCGCAGAGCAGAGCAACATTCGGGCAGCGTGTGACGGTTTCATTGGCCGTTTAAAGGCCATAATTCGTGCTAATGGTGACCAATTCGAACAAATTTAAACTTATTCTAAAATTTGATGCTATTTCCGACATTTTTTTGCTTTGATTCAATAAAAATTAAAATTATGGCGTTTGACTTTGTTGCAGTTTTTTATCTCACCCTGTATTAACGATCTATTTATTAAAAGAATTGGTTGTTCTATAGTTTTTTCTTGGTGTTTTAATTTAAAAATAAAAACTTACAAACGAATTTAACAAATTATTTTAAAACAATAAAATGTAGTTTCTTTTTTTTTCTAAAATAATTATTTTCGAAAAACTAAAGTAAATGAGAAAATAATATACAGTTGATTTAAAATTATATACATGTAAATTATAATAACTAAAATATAATTTTAATAAAGTAATATAACCAATTTTAGAGGAAACAAATAAAAAAGAAAAACAAAACATTTTAGTGGTGATGTCTTATCAAGAAATGAGAAGAGTAGAAAAAAGGAGATTGTGGATTTGATTTAAGTGTGTTGGTTTAGAGAGATTGAAAATATTAGTGTATATATTTCGTTTAGTTTTTTTTTCTAACTGCATGTTTTAATTAATAATTTGTTTTTATTTTTGTTAATTTAAATTGTTATTTTTTATTAAATAAATTATTTTAATATTTGTTGTTTCTTTTCTATGGTTTCTTCTTTAGGGGGTTACAATATCACTTGTCTACATAATATGTAATTAAATATATATATAATAATGTATATATAAATATTTAATGTAATTTTGTCTCCATTGTTTTTTGTTTTTTTGCCTAATACATTCCAAAGTACATTGTATAATATGATGTATGTATAAAGCTTCAATTTTCATATTATAAAAGCGTAAAACATAATATTAACTTAAAAAAGAAAAAAAAAAAGAGTAACATACTTCATTGTTTTTCTCCTTAGAAAAATCATATCTTTAAAAGCTTTATCTTTCTTATCTAAAGTTCTGCTTTATCATGCGTTTGCTACATAAAATTTTCACTTTTGCGTTTTTTGGTGGTGGTGTTATGGTATGGTTCTATGAGTTCCTTCTTTTTTTGTTGTCTTTTGTTTTTAATAAGTTGTTGAATACAAATTTAATTATGCTATATAATTAATTTTTGTTGTTTTCCATTTGTATACAAAATATATAAAAACTAAAAGATAAATTGATTTTTTTTTTTTGGTAAAACATATATTAGTGAGGACAAAAGGGGTTAGGGGTTAGGTTAAGGTGTTGAATTTTTATAAACAATCTTTGTTAATAAAACATTGGTGTTTAAAACAACAATTGCATGAACTTAACTTAACGTTGACTAACATGCCACACAATCAAATAGCTTTTGTCGCCGCGATTTTCGATTGTCTGATTCTGCTCCAAGTTAATGCTTTTCTCCATATCATTGTCATCTGCAAAAAAAATATGGAAAAACATATTAGTTAAAGTAAAATGTTAAAAAATAGTAAAATAGTGCAACGAGAAGCTGTTAATATTGTCAAAATTGCAATTGCAATACTGTTTGCCATATGTATATGGTGTTTTCCTGGTGCACGTTTTGTTTGCTATAGAATTATACACAACATATTGATGATGGTAGGTTTTAGAAACATTCATGGAATATTTTTGCTGCAAAATAAAATACACATAAAGCCAATTTTGCGGTTACATAGATTATTGATGTAACCCCTCCACACCTGTCTATTTTGTGTTTTTTTACAATGGCCTATATCCCCATTCGTTTGAGTTTAAAAATCTTTGCAAATAGGACGAGAAATACCAGCAGATTTACCGAAGGTAATACTTGTCTAACTATTATACGTTATTTTAAAATCTAAACAATATTTTAATCTCCACCAAAGTATAATAGGTATATTTCGCCTCGAAAAATAATTGAAGATACAAAAACTTATTGTTGATCAGAGTTATTTAGCTCTAAGATGATGATCTGAGACGATCTACGCTTCCACCATAACATGGAGGGTATATTAAATTTGTCATTCCGTTTGTGACTCAAAAGTGTGACCCAACCAAGTATATATTCATGATCAACGTACAATTTTATCCGAATTAGCCCTGTGCGTCCGTCTGATGTTATCACGCTATCTTTCTAAGGAATTGAGTGCCGAAATTTGATACACTTGCGTTTTGGATCTGAACTTAGATCAAGATGGGCCAACATTTTCATATTTCTCCCATATAACTGTACTATACAGGGTGAGATGAAAAAACTGCAAACAACTTCAGACTGCTGTCATTTTTAGGCCACTCGTCCAACAGCTGTTAAAATTATTCCAGTGACAGCTCATTATACTGTTTACCAGCGTACAAAAGCATTTTGGTAAGAATTTTCCAGAAAAAAGTTATTCGTGATGGAATTCAAGCGTGATAGTGTGGCTGGAAAACCACAAGTGACTATGGTTAGAGCACTCTAGTATTTAAATGGGAATACATCTTTTGTGTCTCGTACCATCGCTCGTTACCGTGATACTGGTAGCGTAGCCCGACGTCAAGAAGTGGACGGAAGAAAACAACATCAGCAGAAATGGTTCGAAAAATAAAGAAGCGACTTGATCGAAACCCGCGTCGTAGTGGCCAAAAATGAACATATCGCAATATACCATTCGGCAAATACTAAAAAATTAGCTTAGGGTATATTATCGCGAAAATATTCTGGAGAGTGTATTAAAGCCTTGGGCTTTACATTCCAACAGGACTCAGCACCATCGCACGCAGGTCCCGCCACCCAAGAATGGTTACAAAATGTGGTTCCTCGCTTCATTTCCACCGCACAATGGCTACCAAAATCTTCGGATACCAATCCGTTGGACTATTGTGTCTGGAGCATTTTGGAAAGCAAGGTTGGCACTTAAAAAACCAATGTGTTGATCACCTCAATCAAGCGCTTCGCCGGGAATGGGCCAAAATACAGCAGAGCAACATTCAGGAAGCGTGACCGTTTGAAGGCCATAATTCGTGCCAAAGGTGACCAATTCGAATAATCCTAAACTTATTCTAAAAGTTGATGCTATTTCCGATTTTTCGCTTCCATTCAATAAAATTAAAAAAAAAAATGTCAAAAGGATGGCGTTTGACTTTGTGCCATTTTTTTATCACACCCTGTATTTTAAATATTTTGTTTTTACTCATATACTTAAAACGACATATACGACATCTGCTGAGTCGAATTTTTTTGATGATAATCGATGGTTGTATATTCATTAGTCTATGCTATTAGGTTATAGGTCCACAAATTGAAAACTCTTCATATTAATTCAATATCAAAATAAGCAAGTGGTTACATATACACAACATATGTAGTTACAAGATATATTATTGCAGAATAATTTAATTAAATAAAATATATATTCTTTTTAAAATCTGCGCATATTTGGTAGTTGGATTTTGTTATAAAATCTATAATTAATAATTTTATTTACAATTGACACGGAATTGTAATAGAGGAACTACAAACTTTTCGTGGAAAATGCTAAACGAACAATTTTAAGTGTGTTTAAACCGTTTCCCTATTTTGACACAATATTGCATCGCTTCATTTTTTATATTTGCGTAAAATTTTGTTTAAAAAATTAGGTAGTGGGTAGTAACTTATTCAAATGAGTACGTTTAGCATTTTACGAAAAAATCTTAATAGAAGTATATATATATATATATATATATATATATATATATATATATATATATATATATATATATATATATATATATATATATATATATATATATATATATATATATATATATATATATATATATATATATATATATATATATATATATATATATATATATATATATATATATATTGAATAAAATACCAAAACCGAAATATGTGTGTGTCCTCCCAAAAGTATTTAATCAATTTAACAATTGTGTAGAATAAAAAGAATAAAACAAATGTGCATAAAAGTAAAAAATGCAAATAATGCCGAAAAGCCAATGTTTTGTGACCCACGTATTGTTTAGGTGTGCAAAATTGAGCAACAAAACACCAATTCGTTTGAATTTTGGAAAAAAAAAATTAAAAATTATATAAACCTTTCTTAGCCGGGATTTAGCAAATTTCAAAAATCAGGTCACATTATACTCCACTTTTTGATTTGTATTTCATTTTTGCAATCATTTGGTAGATACAACAAATAATTTTTAAAGACGACAACAACTTATATAGACGCTAATATGGCGCATACGTGAAACACAAGATTTTCATCATCAGTCGAATATAGTTTAAGAACAACAATTTTCAAAGTTGTAAGCCAACTATAAATTAAACGTTCTAAACAAATAACAAAAACAAAGAGAAAATAAAACGTTAGTTTTGCGGCATTTTGTTTTTGAAAAGAATGTTATAACAAATTATTATTTTTTTTCAACAACAATAAAAAAACATAAAATTAAAACAAAGAAATTAAAAAAAGGAGAATTTCTTACGAATCAACTTTCCAAACTATCAAATGCGCAGCATTATCACTAGCATCAGTTACAGATCTTTCTTGTCCTGTGATATGAGCAATAAAAAAATGTAAATTATATAAACAAAATAGTCGAGAAACCAGACCAAAAACTAAACTAATTTCTATAGGCCACTACATACAAGATTACAATTCGTAATAAGAACGGGATGGAATGGGTACTTACTTATGCGAAAATCAATGTAACCTTCACCGCCACACATTACCAACATATCGGGCCGTTTGTTAGTAAATTGTAATTGAGCGCTGTTGTTTTGTCGCAACGGTACCGAAACAAAGAACTTAACTGCATCCCTATGTCCGTGGAAGGACAATTGAGCATTTGCCATACAGCATGTTGGCAATTGAGTACTGGGATCACCTGAAATTGAAAAAGGAAAGAGTTTAATAAGGATGATTAATTAGGAAATTTGAAAAGAAATATTGCAGCCTAATAGAGCCTAATAAAGGAAACCTAAAAATCAATATGATTAAATCCTCGCATTCGATATCGAAGAAATTTTGATAAAAATAACTATTTTAATAGACACCACTATGGGGTGTAACCCCGAAATTCGATATTTAGTTGTTTCTGTCCGAAATTTTAAATTTTATAAGGCTAAAATGGACACATTTAAATTTACTTCGATTGAAGTTTTGAAGGTTAGAGACTATTCTAACGCTTGCCTCGCTTATACCTTTGAAGAATTGGATATTACTGTCATATTTTCATCACAAAGGGGCGAGTCGCTCAAGAAAACCCAGAGCTTACGTGAGGTCTAGTGTCGAGGAGGGCAATACATCGATCAATCATATTCAAGCGGCACTTGTGAGAAAACCAATTACAAAATCCTACTATCCCCGAAGACCTTGGGCCTTGGAGGCTCGATAAAGTTCTGCAAGAAGTTTATCCGACAATATTATCCTCAGATAAAGTAGGGGGAGGGAATCCCGTACAAAATGACCTTTAGGCATTTCGAAAAACATCTCCCTAAACTACCTAAGAGTTCTCTTGATCCCGATTCTTTTCCACTCTCTTCTACGGACCTTGGAAGGAAGACTAGTCCATCTGTGAGTCAACCTTCCGTCAAGGGTTCCGTGGCAGTCAGCAGTTATATTTGTATGACTGCTTCTACTGTAACACAAACTACGACACAAAGTGCCGACTCCACGGATATTAAAGTTGCAGCCAAAAAACACAGAAGGCACAAGGCAAAGGAAATGAACTTGGTTGTTACTCTTCAACACACACAACAATGTAGAGATTGCGGTCCACACCAGAACCATATCCGGACCCTAAAAAATCTTTGCCACCACTTCTTTGCCGGCTTCCATTTCGGCGTCTAGCTATTTTGTGACCAGGTCGGTTTCTGCAAGCCCCAAGTCTAGAACGGGCCACAATGAAACCACAAAATTCTAATCTTCAAGCCAAACCGGTGAAAGATGAAGTATGCCAGATCATCTAGCCAAATCACCTTCGTTTAGCGGTTATCGACAAAGATGAGTCGGAAGGAAAAAATCAGCGATAGCTGGTGGTTTCTAATTGAAGAACGTCTGAGGGAGATACACTTCTTATGGATGAAATGAACAGTCTAAAGACTTTTTCGCAAATAAAGTAGCTAGCCTTAGCGACTTTTGGAAGGAGGTAAGCGTCGGCTGTGTCACTGAAGGATATCTTCTTTAGAGAAATATTGTGGGTGAGGGAGCCACCATCTTTTGCATAGAAAAATGAAGATCATCTGTTTTGAAAGTGAAAATTTGGCCTTCGCGATCTATTAAAAAAGAATTGAAATGTCGGCTGTGTCACAAATGAGTCCAAGTTATCGTAATATATTCGGTTATAAAGCAGCGAATGAATTCGCAAGACACGGGGTCGAGATCGAACATATCCTTTACTATTACTTAATTATGAAGTATATAATGGAAACCTTTTCGGCTTGTTTGTGCATAAATCGATTTGCCACTGCTATTCTGCATATCGAATGGAATTAGCTTTCATAACATGCCTCTATGTTACCATTGCAAACTTAAAAGAAAACTTACCTTGACCTTCCGTTAGTGGTACAGAAATGATAACGCCATTACTTGTGCCTATCCAGAGGCGGTTACATGAGACCATCAATGCCGTTATTCGTACAAACGAAAAGCCCAATTTGCCAGTACCCAGCATCTTAGAAACATACGGTTCAATATCGACATCTTGTTTGTGTTCAAATGTATAGGTGTTGTACAAACGTAATGTGGAATCCAGTCTGTTGGAAAGAAAGTAAAAACAAAAAAAAAAAAAATAAATAATTAACATTTCTCCTCAACATTTCTATTCCAAAACAAATATTCCGAGTTTAATTCGCTTCTTGTTACCTTATTGAAACCCACACACCAGCACCTGTTGCCGCCATCTGTCGTACTTGGCTCTCTTTGCGCGGATGGGCATCCAGCGAATGGATGACATTCAATGATATCGGATCGACAATAAATATCTTATTGCGATGAGCGGCCCATATGCGTTCGCCGGCCACACAGAGGCAACGTATCGAATGATTACGGTCACCTAGCGTAACTAGGTGATAACTATTCAGATCCCATTGGCCGTCTGTTTGGCGACGGAACACGGCTAATTGTGCATTTGCAAGGGCCACCACGACCCGTGACTCAACATGAACTATCGCTAGGACGGCATCCGGCAAGTGAACTTTATGCAAGCATTCATGCCAACGGCCAACAGAACTGTGCACATACAACCAACCATCTTGAGCACCCATCCACATGGTAGGACCCACCGAGCTCATGGCATCCTCTTGGCGATCCTTTGTTCCCAATATGGGATTGTTTGGTTTTGAGAAGGGTAGTTGTTGACTCAGTGAATTATTGTTGTTGCTGGTGGTGGTCAACGTTGTGACCATGCTGCTGCTGCCGTTGTTTGATGTAGCATTCGTGCTGGCATTGTTTGCATCATTTCGAAGACGTTGTGGAGCACCGGGTATGGGTTGACGTATTTTGATTTCATTAACATTGCCCAAGGGTTCAATGGGCACTGCTGAGCCATTCTGTTCGTTTGATTTTTCTGTAGCTTCCTTGGCCTTTTCTTCGACTGGAGTTTCGGCATTCACCTCCAGCGAAGGTTCGGCCGTATCTTTGGTATTGCTATTTTTATCCGACTTCGGTTTAACACGTACAAATTCAACTTTTCCAAGGCCTTCAGAGCCTTCACCCGGCCTTTCCAGCATTTCGCCGGCCTTTATGACTTCTGAATTTTCCAATAAGGCATAATCCTTTTCCATGGCACCGGGTACAGAGGCAATGCACAACAAATGGGAGGCACAGACCGGGAACACATCTAACACCGTGGCCGATTGATTGGCATCGACCACAGTGACAGTACTGGCTGCATGTGTGCTCGTGCATATCCAGACATAAGGAGTCAATTGTGTCTCGGGCTCCAGATGTTCAAGGCTAGCTCGAGTAATTTGTCGATCTAATGCCTCGGCCGAATGTTCAGCTGAGGGACTGGTTATTTCGGCAATTTTTGCCGTAGAGCGAGGAGCAAACGGAGAATTACTTGGTATAATGCACTGGCCATTTTTGAAGAAGCCACCATTAAGATTAACACCAGCTGCACAAAAGACTTTCATGTGAGGCGAGGCCTCGGCCAAGGGATTACAATAGACTGGCACTGGTACACCACCAGAATGTCTGGTTTGGGGTTCTTTTTCTGTTTTGTTTACAGGTAAACTCCAGCCATAGGCATGCAGGCGACCGTCTTCCTTTTGGACGTGAGCCCGTAGTTGACGGTACTGTTCGTGGCGCCTGGCCCGAGCTCTTTCCGAGGTGCCTTCTTCGGTGTAATCTTTGTTGGGCAAGGCATTGGCTAGGCCAGCACTTGCCGGATGTGGCATGGGACCACCATCACGACCACCGGTTATGGCAAGGCGACTGTCGCTATTTCTACTGGGGGATCCGTGGGAGTGGGATGGGCTTGAGTAACGAAAAATAGGTCCACCCCCTTGGCCATCGCTGACACGCTCCGGTGGGCGATTGGAGGGGCTAAAGAAGGGATAATTAAATATCCATTAGATTAAATTTAAAAATTAAGAAGTCATTGAAGGACTTACGTGAAAAGATTACTAAAATACTTCCAAATGCTTTGTTTAGATTTTTTATCAAGGTTGTCTACGGTACGTGATGCCCTTAGAATTTCCGTTAGACGCACAGCCTCTTGTAACTCCATTAAACGTTCCTTGTACTGATTACGTTCCATGAGCACCATGGCCATTTCGACGCGTGTAAAACGTTTGCGTTGGGCCAGCGGTACATCATTTTCATCCTGATCATTGTCTGCTGAAGTGAGAAGAGGAAGCGGAATGGAATTTGCAATTGTTTGGAAATTTTGATGTGTAGCTCTACTTACTTTGTTGCTTAACCTGTTCTTTGGTCTTTTTCAATTCTTCCTCCAGCTCTTGAACTTTGGTACGTAATTTATTCCTTGATTGCTGCATGGCATTCAGCTCCTCGCGCAATATTTCAATTTCACCGGTGAGTTCATCGACTCTGGCTATCAAATCATCTTTGACAATATTAAGAGCATTCCTGAGGGGAAATTAAAAGGGAATTGGACATTAATAAACTCAAATGTGCAGATATATATGATGTGCGTACTTAGTAGCCAACAGCTCATTGTTTTCCATGATGAGATTCTCCACCTCTTTGCCCATCCCTAAAAGAATAGAAATGAAATCCATTTTAATTGATGTTTAGTAATAATTTATTGTCATTGCAAACTACTACGGCACGAAAAAAATTATTTACATTTTACGACAATGAAATCAATTATTACTTCAAATTATTCGAACGAGTACTTAAAATGTAGTTTTATAATGGGGATTATACATAGGTTACAACCCTTAACCAAAAAGTAGAAAAATTAATACAAAAGAAACCAAAAAAAAAAATCATAAAGTTTATGTGGAATATTAAGTAAAACAAGTAAGCAAAGGCTACAGTCGAGCGGGGCCGACCGTTGAATACCCTACAACACTATAATAAACGATACAGTTTATATAGGCGAGATTCTCGAAAGAATTCCACAAGGTATTGGGACAAATAATAAAAGAAAACCATCAGGTTTCGTTCTCTAATTTTCGAATAATAGCAACTGAAACTAATTTGCTCATTTCCAATTTATTGGTAGATGTTGCACGTAAACGGTCTTCCTAGATCTGGAACCAATATTTCCCAAAGACCCATAATCTCTCAGAAGTGGCAAAAGATTAACATTTATTATTGGTTTTTGACTGAAACGCATCCATATGAGATACAGACATTTGACTATATTCTTCAACGAAATCAGCGTTAACGAAATAGTCAGAAGTGCGTCTTTCCTGTATTTGTGAATTCTCCAAAAAGTCACTGGAATGGACATTTTCGTATTTTGTCTACAAAAGTTGGCAAACTCCTTTACACATTGAATATTTTTGGATGGCCATCCAAAACTGCTTGGCTTTTGAATGTCCGGTAACCCCCATTCAAATGTGCCTGAGGATCGGGCGATAATTACGACCTGCTAACAATTTTGCAGTTTTTTGGTCCATTTCAATCCCTAAATATATGGCGATCATCTCCAAAAAGAGTAGGCTTCTATTCTGACCCTCATCTTATCCCCATGCAAAATTTCATAAGGATCGGGCCATAAATGCGATCTGTATATGATATCCTGCTATCCTAACTACTTAGTTTTGTTAGCTGTAGAAATATTACCAAATGTTTAATTCAAAATGAAAATATTCCAAAAATATGTCAAAATTGAAAATATATGAGAAAATTTTACAAAATCAATATTTTCATCTTTAGAGAGATATTTTTATGCGATTTTTTGGACGTTTTTTCTTTCCTGCCAAGAGGCCATTCTGAATTAATGAGAGCTGTCGAAATCAGTTCAGCCGTTCTCGACATATAAGAGATATTTCAAGCATATCTTCTTTGATAGACATATATATCGCACATATTTTGCTATATATTCGATTTGTTGGATCTTAACAACAATGTAAAGATCAGAAGTAACCTTGTCATGGCTTTGTGATTTCGCCGGGATTTAAAATATTCGCGGTTTAATGACAAATTTTGAATTTTTCAACAAAAAAGATATGATCTATTTTACCCGCTAAGTATTATCCGATGACCACCCAAATTGGTAGGCTTCTTCCCCGCCCTAAACTCTAGCTACATGCGAAATTCCGCGTCGATTGGTCTATAATTGCGACCTGTATAGCTACTGCAAAATCCGACATTTTTTCAGTATTTGGTCCATTTCAACCCCTAAACATTTGGCGATCATAGGGTTCTATTCTGACATTAACCCCACCTACATTTTAAATTTCGTGAAGATCGGGCCATAATTGCGACCTGTAGAGTGATTACAAATTAACATGGACAGACGGACGGACGGACATACATAGCTAGATCGACTCAGCTCGGCGAGATAGGAAGATCCATATATACTTTCCTATGTGGGAAATCAATATATCGTGGTGTTACATAATTTTTGGCCCAATCAAACTTATAATACCCCCAACACATAGTATTGTAGGGTATAAAAATATGAATCAAATGACGAGACTTCAAGATTCTTTCGCTAATATTGTGAACTGCTATCATTTTAAGTTGTCTAATAGCTCTGAAAACTCAAAACGTTTTTGTGTTTGTACTTTTACAACTTTTTTTAAGACCCTATTGCAAAACACTTGGCTAGGAAACGTTTGCAGCAGAATTGAAGAGGAATTTAAGAGGGAATTAACGTAGCATCTCCTGATTTTATGTATTTAGGAAGTCTATGCCCCAATTTGTGAATAGATTAACTCTAAGAAGAAATATAATGATTTCGGCAACAATTTCCAGCCAATGAGTTTATAAACTCTTCTCAAAACAATTCAACATAGGTATAGATCTCACATGACGAAAGTTCTAAATTTTAGAGATCCTGAGGATAGCCTATTTGGCCACATTAGTCAAGTATTTATATGGTGTAGGATATAAAAATTCAACCAGGCCGAACTTCTCGGATATTGTTTTTTTTAACAAAAAATTGAAGTGCTACACACTTTTATGAATATGAATTATTTTGATGTATTAGACTATGTATCAGTACCTAAAAATCCCATTTTCCAAATACATACTTATATTTATACATATATTAGAAATAATAAAAATTCGAAATGAAGTATTTTGCAAAAAGAAATAACATTTACAAACAAGAATCCCAACACCAAATCGTAAAATATAAATTGCGAAATTACTGACACTACATATTTTGACATGCATTTTAAATTAATTCATTTGTACTTTAAAAATTCTCTGTGCACTCGAAGCGAGTATGACTCGCATGTTTTCGATTGGGAATAAAATTCGTTCGAAATCGAGCTTTTTGGCATTTTGTTGAGAATTTTCCAGAAAAAAAAAAATATTCGTGATGGAATTCTACCGTGATAGTGTGATTTCTTTATATTTGGCTGGAAACCCACAAGTGGTTATCGTTAGAGCACTCCAGCATTTAAATGTGAATAAATCTTTTGTATCTCGTACCATTGCTCGTTACCGTGATACTGGTAGCGTAGCCCAACGTCAAGTAAGTGGATGGAAGAAAACAGCAACATCAACAGAAATGGTTCGAAAAGTAAAGAATCGACTTGATCGAAACTGGCGTCGCAGTGGCCGAAAAATTGCTCAAGAGCTGAACATATCAATAATCCATTCGACAAACATTGAGAAATGAGCTCGGGGTAAATCCATTAAAATTCCAGAAAATTCGAGAACTTACTCCGCAATAAAAAGAAAATAGACCCAAAAGTGCTAAAGAGATGTTTTGCCGAAAGTGGTGAACTGCCGAATTTGGATTTCTCCGATGAGAAAATATTCGTTGTCCAGCAGTTTGTAAACAAACAAAATGATCCTGTCTACTTGCCAAAGAGGTCAGCTGAAAATGTGCAACTTCGGTGGGCACCGGCCATGGTGATGGTGTGGACCGCCATAACAGCCGATGGTCGCTCTCCGCTCGTATTAATCGACCGTGGCATCAGAGTAAATGCCGAATATTATCGCGAAAATATTCTGGAGGGTGTATTAAAGCTTAGGGCACGCAAACATTTTGGCCGCAGATCTTGGACATTCCAACAGGACTCAGCACCATTGCACTCAGCTCGCCCCACCCAAGAATGGTTACAAAATGAGGTTCCTCGCTTCATTTCCAGCGCACAATAGCCACCAAAATTTCCCGATACCAATCCGTTGGTCTATTGTGTCTGGAGTATTTTGGAAAGCAAGGTTGGCACTAAAAATACCAAAGTGTCGATCTCTTTAAAAAGCGCTTCGCCGGGAATGGCTAAAATACCGCAAAACCAACATTCGAGCAGCGTGTGACGGTTTCATTGGCAGTTTGAAGGTTATAATTCGGTGACCAATTCGAACAAATCTAAACTTATTCTAAAATTTGATGCTATTTCCGACATTTTTGCTTTTATTCAATAAAATTTAAAAAAAAAATGTAAAAATTATGGCGTTTGACTTTGTTGCTGTTTTTTATCTCACCCTGTATAGGCAGTAGAAGATCTCAAGATTTTCTGTAGATAATATGTTCTCAAGGTCTTTATATTCCAAAGAGGGGTATGAGGGTCTGCGACCATCATTGCGGTGGGGCACATTTTGACCATATCAAATGATATATGATATATAGTATTTTCACTATAACGATTAGCAGTTAAATCGAAATTTTCTTTTGTACATATTTGTTATAATTAGGACGCGAATTCTGTTAATATGAACTCTATACATGGAAAATTTTTCGAATTTCAAATGAAAATAATTTAAAATACATTTAAAAATAAAATTAAAAATAAATTCTAATCAGACTACAACAAACCACACATTAAACTACAGCTACTTTATAAAAGAGTGATACGAAAATAAGGTATTGGAAAACGCAACTTACCAAAGTAGTTGTCATTAGCTTTTGTAATAGCAAATTTTGTGTTTATCGATTGGCATGTAAAATAACAACAATATTACAAACACACGATGAAAATCCGGAGGACAATGGCAAAATACACATGGGTTTTTGTGTTTGGTATGTTTTTTGGTTTGATTTTTGGAAAACGTATTTTGTTTTTGAGTTTTATGATATCGGTTGTTTTGAAAACGAAAAAACAACGACAGCATTTTTTCGGGGTTTTTTTTAAGAAAATATAAAACAACAAGATATGAGAAAAAAATTATGAGTATTTCTTGCTTTACAAATATTTGTTTTATTTGCTGTTGTAACGAAAGGAACTTATAAACACACAAAATAATATACATAACAGTTAATAAATAGCAATAATAATACTTATTATTTGAGAACAATTGGTATTTTCTTTCTTTTTTTTTTCTGGTTAGGAATTTAAAATTCATTGTCGAGTATTTTAAGTTGTCCGTCATATTGTTGCGTTGCGTTGCGTCTTGGAGTCAAAAGTTGATATGTATTATGTGATGTTTTAAATATTTACACGTAATGTACATAAAGCCATAGAAATATGAGTTTTGATACCTACCTGAAGAAGCATATTCCCCAGGATGTACCCAGCTCCCTATTGGATGGGATTGCATAGATTTTTGTGTTTATTGTTGTTGCATTGCACATTCAAACAGGAAGTAGGCAGAGAGGCAATTAGATGATGCAGTATATGAATATTTAATTTTGTTTTTTTTTTTTTGTATTCAATTTAATTGTTGATATTGTGCAGTGTTGAGTATTGTTGTATTGTGTAGCAATATTTGGTTTATTCACACAAATAATACATGGACAAAAAAAAAGAAATATACAAAAGAAAAGAAAGAGAACAAAAAAGATTTTATGTATAAGAATAGAATAATTCTTTTGTAGAAAAAAAATTGTATAGAACCCTCCTCCCCCATTTTCTGATTTATACACACATAAAATATATATTTGTTTTAATACTGAGGTTGGGTTATAATTCAAATAAAACACAATACAAAACATACATATCTGCCTGTCGATACATACCTGTAACAATTTCGTTATCTTCGCTCTCTTCATTATCTTGAAAGGACAGCTCTTGGTACAAAGTATTGGCAGAGCGTTGTTCCTTTTTCGTAGTCGTACGACCAACTGTTCGTTTGTGTGGGTGTGTGTTTTTATTTTGGGTGAATATGCGTTGTTGAAACAATAAAACAAATGCAACAAAATAATGTTGGATTGAGTTTTTTTTTGGGAAGGATATTTATAATTTTGGTAACAGGACACATTTTATGAGAAGAGGAGGTAGCGAGAGAGCACGTTGCGACGGAATACAATGACAGGATATTGGTTGGACGACAAACATCATTTCATTTGGAATTTTCATTTTGTTGGGTGGTGGTGGTGTTGTTGTTAATTTGGTGAATTAGTTGGGTAGTTGTGTGTAAAATAAGAACAAAAAGTAGGAATAGTATACGGTTAACACAAAATATATATAGGTAAGTAGTTGTAGGTTAAATTGTTGTTTGTAATACGAAGGAAATTTTTTGATAAGTTAGTGGATGGGGAATCAAAATGGAAGGAACGTAAATGAACGCAAAATGCAATCAAATGACAAAAGAAATAAAAATGTTGTTTTTAATGAAAAATCGTTATTAGTAAGAAATGTCATTTATCAAAAAAAAAAGGAACTTGTAAAATGCATAGTTCTATATATTTATATAAACCAAACAAACCAAAATTTTGTAACCACGTGTGACCCCATGTTTCCACCTTCAAAGGTAATGACTGCAACCAGAGACATAACGGAAATTCATCATCCCACGGCTGCGGGTTCTACGACACCCGAATCAACAACATCCCAGTTTCGGCCATCGGCTGCCAACAAATGTTCGTGTTTGGTTTTTTTTCTATTTTGGGAGCAGAACATACCGGAATGTTTGCTCCGGATTCTTTTGGTCCGTGCCGGGATTGGAAAAATGGTTCTGTTCGGTTTGTCAAAACATCATCCACCACAGATCTTTCTCGGTGCGATATAATGAATGCAGAGGGTGGGTGCATTTGAGGAATTGTTCCGGTCTAACCCGGTTGCGAAACTATAGCGATAGGAATTATGTTGCTTTGTACTGCAGTCGTCGTAAGGAACAGCAACCTTTACCGCAGCATCTAACGGCACATGTTGCTGTTCTAATTCCGGATAATGCGTCATTTTTGCAATTCAATTGCAACGGACTCCGTGGTATAATTGACAAGAAAGCGATGCAGGAAACCAAGCTCATTGAGAAACTTCGCTTCAAAAAAATGCTAAACCCTACTGGTATTCGGGTAGTGAAAGAATTTTTCGGGACATAATTTAAGCTGCGGCCGCTCGCTATATACCTACTGGTCGAATACCCGAAATAAACATTGGAGCCGATACGAGTAAACTATGGGTAACAGTTAAGACACTCTCGAACCCTGGGATGGTAGGACAGTCACTTTTAACTACGTAATTCGAGAAGGTGCTTGGCCCATTTGAATCGTCCATTTGTCGAGCACACCGGGAGTGATAGAACGAAGCAAAGTATACTACGTCGTATAACATCTCTTCCCACCGAGGAGTCATCCAAATCGTTAGGCCCAGACACATATAACAATGGTAATGTAAGGATGTTCCCGCTATTGATCCATCCGGGTAAGTATGTCAGCAAAGACACATCATACAGGCCAATTTCGGCTTTACTCTTCCCCAGCATCAGAGTAAGTTATCCAGTTGCAAACCATCAACAGAGTTCCCGTCCACAACACTGTACCACAACAGCATTGCATGCCAAATCCACACAAATTAGTCGAGGTTTCAACCAGAACAGACTGTAACACAGAACAGTAGTGGTTTCTCTTGACTTATCAAAGACCTTTGACACGGTCAATCATATCACGCTCCTCAAGGACGTTAAGAACACTACCCTCCGCACACAATTCCTACCACTAAATACCTTAAAATCCCTGAGGTCAGCATGTTTAAGTCGTCCACACAAATCACAGCTATCTCCTATAAATTAAAAGGTAGGAACGAGGTCCCCAGTCGGCCTTGGTTGGCTATGCGTCACCAATGTTGTCTGAGAATATGAGTGTAACACAATGCAAAAGTACTAAGACCTGCCTGAATGCCGGCCGGGAACTGAAAGAGGGTGCCTCCTCATGACTTCTTTTGGACCGTTTACTGAGGATACACAGGTTATTCCCTAACATCAGCATTACTATTTGCTTTCGTTGCAGTACATGCTTGGGTGTTACCGCGTGAGTCATCCTAACGACAGAAGTATCCAACGTTTCAGAAAGCATCTACATGATCTAGAGGAAGAGTAGCAATGATATAAGAGAGAGCCTCTAGACCGTGAAGCCAGCTGAAGAACGTGGCATGAATAGGCAAACCAGGGTAGTTTTGGTTCAACTACGTACAGGATGGTGCAGCCGTCTCAATTCGTGTTGGGTGCGAATTAATTAAGATGTGTGGAACGTCTGCCCAGCGTGCAATACAGGCCCGCACAACACATTGCATCTATTTAATTGTCCTGTCAACTCTGTCAAGAGGATCTATGGCTACAGCCCACAGGGGTAGCAGACTCCCTAAACCTGTACCTTGAAGCGGAATCAGATAACAAGTTGTGTATACAACCCAAAAAACAGGTAGTTACTGGATGAATTGAGGGTTGTTGTTTTCAGTTAGTCCTACAATTAAAGGGACAAATATCGCAGAAAATATTTTTTTCTAATTTATCGGCCCCAGTACGTGACAAACGCAATGTAATCTAGTAATTTAATTTTTTTAACATTTATAGAACTATGCATTTCGGATCGATTAAACTAAAAATCAAATGTTTTGCAAAACAATAGATAATAAGCAAATGATGTGAATACAAACCGTTAGATGGTATATTTGGCACAGTGGGACTACTATCACTTTGTGGTGAGGTGGCTTGATTTTGTTGTTGTAATGTGTCAGTTTCAGCCGCCCTCTCTACCGTCTGTAGATTATCGAATTCATTTTGTAACGAAGGTGGACCTGAGTCATCCGAATTGCTGCCAACACTGCAAATTGTTTCCGTATCTAACATGGCGGAATTTTCCAGCGAAGCAAAACCAAATGATACGGGACCAGATGATCTGGGTGTTAGCAAGAAAAATGTGTTATTAGAGAAAATATATTTAATTTTATTTCTAATTTGTTTATTTAGGATATAAAGACTTACCTCGCCACTGGATTCAATCTTGCTCGACTCAATTCCATGCGTTCGGATGTTGAGCTCATTTGGGAATGGGTTGAACCCATTAGCATTTTGGTACGTTCCATATAATCTACATGATTTTTAAATAATTCTGTATACCGTTCGTGGAGTTTATTGTATTCCTAATTGTTGCAAAGAAATATAGTTTTAGTTGATTATTCTCCAATAAGATTTCAGAAATGCTTACCTTTTTCAAATCGGATTCACGTTCCTCCAAACGGCTGGCATGTTCTAAACTATTTTTATGTTTTAATTCTAACATTCGTACTATACTCTCTAGGGACTCGAGGCGACTTGCTAGCTCTTTGTTTTCCTGCTCCGCCAAATCTTCCGATTCCAGCAGCTAAAATGAACAAAAATTATATATAATTATAAAAATTATTATAATTAAATTATTAACAAATTTTTATATAATTTTGAAAATTACCTTTTGTTCAGCCTGCTTCCTTGCACTTTTCTCCCGTTCATATTGTGTCACCAGTTGTTCATTATCTTCTCTCAACAGCTCCAATTCCACATCCTGTTCTTGATTTATGCGATATGATGCATCCAGGCATTCTAGCACGTTAACCAACAAGGGCATTAGGTTCTTAACCACATCTTCATCATAGCAATTTATCATGCGTTCAAACTCTTGATAAATACTTCCGGCCAATTGTTGGACCTGTGGTTAAGTGTTTGATAAATATCACAGCACCAGATAGGAAGAGACACAGAAAGAGAGGGAGAGAAAAGAAAGATACATACATTTAAAACAATGTGCATATATTTACAAAAAACAAAGTGAGCTCTTAGATTTAAGATTAGAAATACGAAGTGTTTAATTATGTTAATGAATAATGTACACTTTGTTACACAAATCCGGTAATTTTTATCAGCAATTTGAGATATACAGAAAGTCATTAAATATGACATATTACTTGTAGGATCAGTTTAATAATGAATATAAAACCTGGTAAAGCTACCATATACAACCACCAACCTATTTGTCAGCAATTTGACACTTCCTCTAGAATATCAATGGGAATAAAATAGCCTTCAAAGTTCTTTAATATATAGCTTCCGTCCTTGACTTAGCTCCAGCAGTTTAGCAGCGTCAATTCAAGGTCAATGCATCTCCTAAAGCCAAATTTTCAAAATGTGGATAGTGCATTTTAGGACCCATCCTTATTTCAGCTATTTTCATGTTTTCTAAAAAAATAGACTTTATTTTGACGTTATGAACTTTTATTAAAAATTGAACTTTTATAAAAATTAATTGCAGAACTGTTGCAGGCAAACCGTCACCTGAGAATCTCATGAGAACTTTAATCTGTTCCACATTACTAAATATAAAAGCAACGTTTATAAACCAGATATAGAGAGAGTGAAACCCGATCGATTACGAACGGAGTACCCCTGCGAATAAGAGAAAATTCTTCTCTTGTCGGGTACACTAGTACTATATTTCTTAGGTGATCCTGAGTCTTTCATCCCCCAAGAACTGTGACGAGGAGAACTTAACGCGATCGGTCGGTCTGTGGTCAGCTATGCGGCTTCTGTTAGTGAATACTATTGCTACGCACTAGAAGCACATCCAGACCTGCCAGAATGCAGCCCAGAGAACTGCGACAGGTTGCCTCCAGTGGAGGCGAAAGTCCTTTCCTTACGAGGCGAAAGTCCTTTCCTAACGTAAGCATAATCATATGCTTGCGTTGCAGTACCTGCTTGGGTGTAACCATGAGAGTCATCCCAACCATCGTATGGTGGATACAACTTCCCCACCTAGGCGTGTCAGGAAGGACATAAATGATCTAGGGGGGAGGTCCAAAGCTATAAGAGAGAACCTCTTGATCAAGAAGCCTATCAGGCAGGATTGAGTGTCATTTATAGCGGTGCAGTCGCAGACGCTATCAACAATTACAGGATGAATGCCGTCCTCGGGGTCCACCCCCCATTCATTGCACCTGAAGAACGTCAGCTACCTAGATAACCCAGTGTAGTTTTGGCGCAATTCGGGATGGTGCAGTCGTCTTAATTAGTATTGGGCACGAATTGACGAAGATGTGTGTGACGTCTGTCCGGCGTGTGCAATTGTATGTGTAATTGCACGGCCAAACCTACTCAACTCAATCCAGAAGATCTCTGGTTACAGTCCATTAAGGTAGGCGAATTTTTAAACCTGGAGCTTGAACCAGATTAGCAGAATACAAACATACACATGTACTACTGCTACAACAACAACGAGGAGAATTAAAACTCCGGAAGAACAGAATACTGTATAGACCCCAAAGAAGGGAATGAAGAGTTAAGGCGACACTGCGTTAAGGAACCAATTAATGGAGACCTCCTTTAATGCGGTTCTGAATGGAATTCCTGCTGATAGTCGGCAATATGGGGAAGAGTAAAGCCTTAAGAATTCGCCACTGCATACTTCTGTCTCCTTCGCAGATCCCAATTTAAGCAGGGGGTAAGGATGATGTTTGACGCCAGAAAATTGAAACAGTGAAAATCCGACGTCAAGGAAGTGGTCGGAGGAAACCTCAACATCAGCAGAAATGGTTCGAAAAGTAAAGAAAGCACTTGATAGAAACCCGCGCCGCAGTGGCCCATAAATGGTTCGTGAGCTGAAATGGGGTAAAGCCATTGAAATTAAAAAGTGCAAGAACTTACACCGCAACAGAGAGAAAATAGACTCAAAAGAGCTAAAGAGTTGCTTCCCTTGGCCGAAAGTGGTGAACTGCCGAATTTGGTTTTCTCCGACGAGAAAACATTCGTTGTCCAGCAGTTTGTAAACAAACAACATGATCGTGTTTACTTGCCAAAGAGGTCAGCTGAAAATGTGCACCTTCGATTGGCCACTGAACTCAAGCGCCGGTCATGGTGATTGTGTGGGCCGCCATAACAGCCGATGGTCGCTCTCCGCTCGTATTAATCGACCGTGGCATCAGAAAAAATGACGAATATTATCGCGAAAATATTCTGGAAGGTGTATTAAAGCCTTGGGCACGCAAACATTTTGGCCGCAGAGCTTGGACATTCCAACAGGACTCAGCACAATCGCACTCAGTACGCGCCACCCAAGAACGATTACAAAATGAGGTTCCTCGCTTCATTTTCAGCCCACCAAAATATCTGCATACCAATTCGTTGGACTATTGTGTGTGGAGTATTTTGGAAAGCAAGGTTGGCACTAAAAAATACCAAAGCGTGGATCTCAAGCAAGCGCTTCGCCGACAATGGGCCAAAATACCGCAGTGCAACATTCGGGCAGCGTGTGACATTTTTAAAGGCTATAATTTGTGCCAAAGGTGACCACTTCGAACAAATCTAAACGTATTCTAAAATGTGATGCTATTTCCGACCTTTTTTGCTTTTACTCAATAAAATTAAAAAAAAATGTAAAAATTATGGCGTTTGACTTTGTTGTAGTTTTTTATCTCACCCTGTAAGTGGGATTGTATATATATATATTCGTAATGTTTTGTAGTAATTGGTGATAAAATGTAATAAGAAAACCTATAATTTAGTGAAGAGATTCTTTTGTGAACTCCCAAATTTCGAACCTGTACGCACAAAATTTGGAATTTTTGAAAATTTTGCAGGCCAGTAAAGAAAACAAGGCAATGTTATTTAAATTTTAAAAACTACATTATCTTCTATTCGAAAAATGAATAACAATTTTAAATCGTGCGCAGATAGAATAATATCTGGGATAATTTTTCTTATTTTCATAATTTGAATACATTTTTTAAGTTATTTTACAATCGAACTTGCTGTAGTGCACAAATATTTTGATCACAATATAAATAACCGACAACTCGTATCAGTTAATATTAAAGACAAATCAAAGCATTTGGTTGTGAATGAAATGAATCAGCAAACGTGGAACTCACATCCATCCATACATACGATATGAATGAAACACCGTCATGTCTATGAATTTGAGTGTAATAAAGATTGTTGTACATACTTAGATTATGAGATGCCATAATGTCTGTCAATGAAAAGGGTTATTCAAAAGTTCATAACATTTTTTTTAATTATACTCGAATCTGAAATGACTTTTAAAAAAAGAGAATTTAAAAAATATTTTAGAAACACAGTTTCCTCCTTCCATTGTTATGCCCTACAACACTATGTGTTGGGGTATTATAAGTTTGAGCGGGGCAAAATTTATGTAACACCTCGAAATATTGGTTTCCCACATAGGAAAGTATATTTGGATCTTCCTATCTCGCCGAGTCGATCTAGCTATGTATGTTCGTCCGTCAGTCTGTCCATGTTAATTTGTAACATGTTAATTATTATGTTAATTTGTACAGGTTGCAATTATGGCCCGATCCTCACGAAATTGAAAATGGAGGTGGGGTTAGGATCAGAGTATAATCCTATTTTTTTTTTTTTTGGAGATGATTGCAAAATATTTATGGGTTGAAATGGACCAAAAACAGAAGATTCTCCCGAATTTGCAGTTGTTCTATAGGCCACAATTATGAACCAATCGACGCGAAAATTTAAATGGAGTCAGAGTTTAGAACTGGGCAGAAGCCATCAGACAATATTTTGCGGGTAAAATAGATCCTGACTGTTACGTAAGAAAATACGAATATTTCCACTAAACCGTGAATATTTTTAATCCCAGCCATATCACAAATACATTAAAAAGTCACTTCCGACCATAAAGTAATGCTGCTGGCCAATAAATCCAATCATAGATAAATAGGTACAATATATATGTAAAAGAAATAGATCTTATTTATTCTGATCATAAGTCAAAAACCGCTGGGCCGATTTTCACAATTCCCATCAATTCGGAATGGTCTCTTGCCAGAAAATGAAAAAAATTAAGAAAATCGCGGAAAATTGTGCCAATAAAAAAGTGAATACTTTTTGTTCTATTTTTTTCTAATTTTATACCCTACACCACAACAAGGTGGTCAGGGTATTATCTCTTTGTGCATTTGTTTGTAACAGGCAAAAGGAAACGAGATAGACACATAGTTCCTTTTGATGATCTGCATAGAATCACATTCTGAGTCGATTTATGCATGTCCGTCCGTCCATCCGTCTGTCCATGTATTTTTGTAAACAAAGTACAGTTCGCATTAATTGCTCTATCCAGATGAAATTTTGCACAAACCATTTGTTTGGCCCAAGGACGAACCCTATTTAAATTGGAGATAATCGGTAAAAAGTTAGATATAGCTTCCATATATATCTTCGTCCGATTTGCCTTTTATTGTGCACCAAACGTGCAATATAAGTCCGAATAGTATGGAATTTTGCACGTACGATCACTGGACCTGAAAATATGTATGCCAAATTTGATCGAAATCGGTTCAAATATAGCTATAGCTCCCATATATATTGTTCATCCGATTTGTTATTTTTCTATTCCGCAGCCGTAATATGCATTCTGTAACGACAATATTTGGGGAAATAACATATACAGCTCAGAAATACCTTTGCTAAATTTTATCGAGATCGGTTCAGATTTGGATATAGCTCCCATATATAACTTCGTCCGACTTACATTTGATTGTGCACCAAACGTCTAATATTTGCCCAAATTGGATGAAATTTGGCACTTACGACCGAATTGAGTCTAGAAGCTTGTGTGCCAAATTTGGTGAAGATCGGTTCAGATATAGCTCCCATATATACTGTTCATCCGATTTGTCA